GGTTGCAAAGTGGTGAAAACAGTCAATTACAGATCCACAATTGTTAAAAGGATTCAGCAATGAAAGCAAAGGGAAAAGCAGGCCAAGTTCTCTTGTTTTTGAAATCAAATGGCACACAGCCCTCTGAAAAGAATTACCCTGATAGCTGTGCTGAAAAGTCCAGTTCTGCTTCTTTGTTCTCAGGCTGAACCAGGTGGCTACACTTAGTTATTTTAACCTCTAGCCAGTTCAGAACTTTTCCAGAACACTGGCAGCAGATTTGGAGTCTGTTACCTTCCCTTGTGTCTGTTTCCTTCACTCACAGGCACTTGCTTTACACAGCCTGAGCTCTGAAAATCCAAGGCATAGTATGCAGGAAATACCGCCCAGAAGCAAGAACGTGGGCTGGTGGGAGAGAAGGCAGGAGGACAGTAGAGTGCTTGGAAAAATGAACCCCATAATTTCTAAGTGTCATTTTAACATGGACTTCTGCCTATCTCCGCCAAATCTTCTGGCTGAACTAATAGCAAGAGTATAATTCTTGTTTGAGGTTCACCATCTTCTTTTCTTTTCTCAGTGCTTCCTAAAGGTGGTCCTTGAACCTCTGGCTTCAGAGTGATCTGTGGTGCTTATTTAAATGAAAATTAAGGGTTCCTACTATAGGAAAGAATTTCTGGGCATGGGGAGGATGCGGGACTCTGCACTCTAAGATGATTTTGGTAATTATATACAATGAATTTGAGAAAAAACCCCCCCCCCCATTCACTTACAAGTTTACAAGTTTAAAGACAGGTATTCTGCCAGTTGGCATTGTATACAAACTAGGGCCTCAAGTTATTTTATCCTATACCCTTTCTTAGTTTCTAGAGAGCAGTGTCCTTGCCTTACTTATCATCTTACTGTACCTAATACCCAGTAAATATTGATGGCATTGTAGGGGCTACTGCAATGGTCCCTTATCAGCCCCCAGCTTCCACTCATGTACCTCTACAATTCACATACCACAGGTGAATCTATAAAATGCAGATTAGATCATGTCACTTTCTTCTCAAATCTTCCAGTGGTACTCAGACTCAAACTTGAACGCCTTCCCACAGTCTCTGGTCACCCTCACGACCTCCTCCCATACAACCTCTACATTTTGCCTACCACACTCCAGCCAAATGAACTTTTGTGGGGTTCCTTCAATACATGAAAGTCATTTTCACGTTAGGGCTTTTGCACTGCTGTTCCCTTGTCCAGGGATGCTCTTCCTCCTAACGTCACAGCACTGGACACTGGGTATAATGCAAACCTTGGCTTACGTGTAACCTCCTCAGAGTACCCATCTAAAGTGGTCACCAAATCACTCTCCGTCACATCTATTTTAATTTTCTGCTCAACACTTGTCACCATGTGATATTTTTCTTGCTTACTTTTCTGTGTTTATTGTCTTGCTCCATTCATCCATTCACTATTATTCTCAGTACCTGTATGGTGCTAGTTACTACTCTCAGTACTGGGGCTACAGCAGCAAGGTAAGTCTTTACCCTTATGAATAGGCAGTCAACAAATAAACGTATAAGACATCACATGATCATAAAATTCTCTAAATAAAATAGCTGAGTTAAAGGGCTAGATAATGATGAGAGGGTGTTCTTTTACTCTTGATCTTAGCCAAAAGGCCGAGAAAGCTAAAGAAGTGATAGACTTCTCAAAGTCACTTTTTTCTACCTTGACCTATCTTGCTTGCTTAGGCTATTTGGAGTATACTTTAATAAGTTGCAAAGTCCCACAGAATAACAGGCAGCTGAATCTTGTGGACTCTCCGAAAAGTGGATTTGGGCGCTAAGCAAAAACAGACTAACTGAACTGGGACAATGTGCATTTCAGCGATTCAGAAATGAGCATTTCTGAGTTGCTACCAGACACAGTAACGATGACAGGCAATGAAACCCAGCACAGAAGAGAGGTCACCAACAGCTCACAGCAAACCAGTCCCAATGGCAGCTCTGTGCCTTCTGCGTGCTCTGTACAGATACATTCACCCCCTTTTCTCAAACAGAACTTGAAAAACTGTATAGAAAACTAAGCTTCAGCCATATTTCATACTGGCCAGCAAAGTAAAAAGGAAAAATTATAAAGTCAAAGATCAGAAATGGAAATCTCTTGTTTTTTCCTGTCACATGCCATTTACTTGCACTGAAAAGTCTTGCCCAGGGCTAGAGCTAGGAAAAAAATTTCAATGGTGGCAAAACTGTCCATGCCCCCTCAGGTGCCTTCCTTTTTATGCAATCCCCTGTCCCCCAACCAATGTCCTGGAGGATGGAGGACCTAGGACTTGCTCTCTGTTGTCCTAGGCCCAATACCTTTACTATCCTCAGCACCAAGCTGCCCTGTCTCTTTCTAGCAAGATTCCACTGAACCTTCTCCATCTTAAAGCCATTTGAGTGTCTTAAGATACTCAAAGCCCAGTAAAGTGAAAATTAAAAGGCTAAAGTAGCATTTCCTAAGTGCTATTTCAATTATTGGTGTCCCTGAGATTACTAAACCAAAAAATTGTTCAGTGATCAAAGGAGTACTTTGAAAACACTGCATACTATAATATTTATCATATTGTCCACACACATTGAAATGCTTAAGAGTTTAAAAAAAAACAAAATAATTTTCAGTTGGGGGACAGCTAAATGAATTCAGGAATAGTAATCAGCTGTTTAAAAAGATGATATAGATCTCTACATACTATTATGAAAACGTCCCTTAGCCATGTTAAGTAAAAACCAAGTGAAATTTCTGAACATGACTAAATATCCCATTTAAAAAGCCCAAATCCTATGGGTGCATATATGTTTTTTATGTAATACAATAAAATATATAAAAATTCTAAAAAGATGTCTAAAATTATAAACAGTGATAGCCTCTGGGGAATAGGACTGGGGGGGAGGAGGGAGACTTGCACTTTTTATAGATTTAATATTATGTGAATTGTTTTATAGTCTTTTATTACTTTTATAATAAAAATCAAGTGCTATATTAAAAAACAGACATAAAATCCAGCTATAAATACATCTGTTTAGCTTTGAGTGAGCACTTCTCAAACTCATGTCATCACTAAACCCCTGTTGGTGGAATACTCAGAAACAACTTGTGCCACAACTTCTGAGATTACTGTGGTCAAGGCTCTCCCCGTCAACATAGGGGTGTTAACCTCCTGTGGCCTTCTATAAATAAGTGAAGGAGGCAGGAGGGACTTCAGAGATGATCTGGTACAACACTTTTACTTTTGAAATGATGATACTAAGGCCACGAAAAGTGAAGGGCCTTGGCATGATCAGTCTGAACCTCTCAATCCTGTGTAGCTCCTTCCACATCATTCCTATAGTCACCAGGTGACACAGGTGGGCTGTGATCCTTGGATTTCATAAAAAGTCTCTAACACTCAAAGAAACTGTCAGGACCTCTGAACTAAGCTAGAAACTCAAGGTTCTCCCTACAGTCAAAGGCAGAACAGAGTCCTGATGACCCCCTTGGCATTGCCCTGTCTTCTTCCATAGCTTTTTAGGAGGAAGTAAGATGATGTTAATTCCCTTTTCCATCTTCCTGGGGGGCCTGACACAGGAGCTGCCAATCAGGGCCCTCAGGGGTGTTGACTACAATCTTTACAAACCACATTATAAAGATTTTTGGGAAAAACTACACAGATCACGACAGTTAAGGCGATCAAACAAGAAGAGAAGTTAAGCACACAGGCTGCCAGGACGTGCTGCCTACATTCAGACTGTCTCCAGCATTTCTGTATAGGCTTGACACCTGTGCCTCAGCTTCTAGCTAAGATGTGGTGACAATAGTACCTAAGTGTACCTAGGGATTTAGGGGAAGATTAAACCCAGTAATACCTTTAAAGCACTGAGTACCATGTTGGGCATCTGGGAAGAGCACACAGAAGAAATACTTTAGTATTGTTATTATAGCTATTTGGTCTGTAAGTACCAAGGCTGACAGACAATATTAGTGACAATAGGCAATAGGTTAAAATAAGTAATCTAGACTTGAGGACCATGATTCTATGAGTCTTTAGATGACTACCTACCTTAATTTTGTCATGTATCTTGGCTCTGCCACCTAATAAATATGGCTATTAGCAAGTTATTTGCTTTATGTGCTTCCTTTTCTGTAAAGTGTGGGTAAAAACCCTATCCATTTCTAGTCAGTGAGTAAAACACATAAAGAGCTTATGCTTGCCTGGCAGATAGTCACTACTCAATACCAACTATCACTGTTGTTGTCAGAGTCATTGTAAAAATTAAAAAGGACGATATACATAGAAAGTGTAGTACACTTTCTTGATGTACAGTGCTTGGTACTTAAGTAGTAGTCAAAAAACATTATTACTTCCACTACCACTATTGACTTTGGGCGATGGCCCAAGGAGACCAGTAAATGATACATGCTGTCATCCTGATAATGACACATCAAAACAGAGACTTCAAGAGATATTAGGATAATTAATCACAGGTCTAGGAATAAAAGCCTTCTGGAACAAACAGCCTTGTCCAGCCCAGACAGAGGATGGGCTCACCCACAGGGAACAGCAGGTGCTGGCTGTATTCTCTCTCCAGCCCTGGGGACCACACACACAGTGTCCTGGTGCTGAAGCTTTTCAATGGTTCATCTCACAGAGCAAGTAACATAATAAAGCCTTGGCTTGGAATGATGTCTTTCTGCCAGAAGTTCAAAGTTACCCAGAGAGTATCTCATTCATTTTTGGGATCCTATGGGGATGGGAGTGGGTAGGCAGTATTGTTATTCCCTTATAAAGATAAGAACATACGGTTTAGAGAAATTAAATACCTTGTTTTGCTCCAACCTTCTATCAGTGCTGGGTGAGGACCTGAAACCCAGGATGTGATCCCCGAGGCCCAGCGCTCTAAGCCCTGCCTTTGTAAACACCTTCATGGATGTGTGAATAGTGTGACTTGGGCCAGATGTGGTCCCCTGCCTCCCTTCCATCCCGTCCTAGACCAGGTCACTGCAAGGCTCACCTGTCACCGAACTGAACCTCCTCTCCATTCCTGGCCCAGCTGATGGTCGGCCTCGGGTGGCCTACGGCCTCACAGTGGAGAAGCACACTCAGCGTCCCGCTGGCCAGGGCCACCGTCTGCCCAAGGTGGGTGACCACCTCAGAGGCCGAGAGCTGCTGGGCAGCCGAGATCTTCCGCAAGATGGTGGGCTTGCGGTGTGGCCGGCGAGAGCCGCCCCCGGCCTCCCCAGCCGAGGAGGTCCGCAGGGAGCTGAAGCCAGACACGTGCTTGTGAGGGGGGATGGCCACGGGGGCAGTCCTCCGCTCCGAGGGCTTGAGGAGCGTGTCCTGGTGCTCGAGGTGGCTGCGGAAGATCTCCTGGGCCAGCTGGGCCACCAGGTGCTTGCTGTAGAGGTCGCGAAGCTCCTCGGGCTGCTGGGAGAGGTTCCTGAGGATGTCGTCCAGGCGCCTCTGCTCGGCCACCATGGTGAAAGGCAGGTGCAGGAGGGCCTGCTCGGCGCTCGGGTCCTCCTCCGAGGACGCGTTCCTCTCGGTGGAGTCCTGCACCTCCCAGGAGGCCAGCAGCTCGCCGGGCCAGCCCCCCTGCTCCAGCAGGCGGGAGACGAGGTCGTCGTAGCGGCTCCCCGGGTCCCCGGCGAGGCCCCGCTTCTCCGCCTTGCTGCCGTTGGCGAAGATGCCGTTCTGGTGCTTGTGCGCCTGCAGGGCCTCCTTCGGGCCGGCCTTCCTGGCCGCCAGGGCCTCCTCCTCACTCCTCAGGCTTAAGGGCCGGGCCACGAGCTTGCGGTTGCCGCCCATGAGCTTAATCACGAACTGCTCCCGCGCCGGGCCGGCAGAGCAGGTGTAGACGCCCGCGTCCGAGGGCTTGAGGCGGTGGATCTTCAGGTAGCCGAAGGGCGCCACGGTGACGTGCGCGGAGCTGACCAGGTGCTGGCCGTCCTTCTCCCAGGTGATGAGCGGCTTGCGGAACCGGCGCGTGGGGCACCGCAGCACCACCGCCGTCTTGGGGAGCAGGTACGCGAATCCCCCCACCACGAAGTGCAGCTTCTTCTGCCTGCTCGTCTGGATGTAGACCTTCCGCACCACGGCGATGTGGGGGCTGTGCTTGGTGGACGGCCGCCCGGGCCCTGCGACCAGCGGGAAGCCGGGTGGGCACACGAGGAAAAAGGGCGAGTAGAGGAAAACGAGGGCGAGATGCAACCACCGAGGAGAAGCGAAACGGGAGATGGGGCGATGTGAGATAGAAGGGGGAAAGTGCTCATTAGGTTTACTCTGGCCAGGGACAATTAACCGCCTACATTTCACAGGAGGAACTAGCTCCCAGCTGCGGACCATCAAGCTGACACCACAGTCAAGACTGGAGAACTAATGAGGTGCAGGAGGCAACCTGAATATAGCACCTTGCTGGGTTTTTCTGCTCCTAGCAGCTGAGATGCAGGGTTCTAGATAGAGGAGGAGCCCACAGGAAAGGCAGTTCCTCTCATTAAAAGTGTTTGCAAAAAGAAACCGGCATCATAAAAAAAACGCAGAGGACAAAGGGAAGGAGAATGTCTTCCTTTAAATGTTTACCTTTTGGGTCCTGCAAACACCAGAGCCCTAATGTACACGGTGAGGAGAGCCCAGAAGTGTTAGAGCTCTAGGGATTAATATTAAACAGAACAAATCTGTTTAGAGTCGTTTAAAACCCCAGAGTGGATAACATTAGACTTCATTAGTAATATACTGCCTCCAGCTTCCAGATCTCTGTATGCCACCGAGTGAACTTTGCTCTACCCCCTGCAAACTGTTTTTCCAGTGGAGAAGAGAATTCAGCCTGGCCACGTGTAATTAAGATTCCTTTTCCGTCTCCAGCTGAGCTCTCTGGGCTGCAGCCCTCCCTGTGGCTTTACTGTCCCACCCTCTCCCACTGGTCTTGGGTTTCTGGAAGGCAACAGCTTAGTGGCTATGGCTGCTGCTGTGTGGGTTCCAGTTCCCCAGCCCACAGCCTTGACATACTCACTTGCACAGGTTGCCAGCATGCAGGGCCTGATGGAGGAAGAGAAAGGCAGGGGCGGGCACAGGCTGGAATTGACAACCGTGGAGACTCCAGTTTTCAGCACTTTCCTGCAAATGGCGCTTCGAGTCTGGGTTCCCTCCCCACAGCTTGTGGAACACTGGTGGGGAAAGAAAGGCCAAATGCATGTACATTTAGGAAACTAGAAGCTAGTGGGCTTTTTGTATGGACTCTCAAATTCATCAAAACATGAGAGAAGTTGCTTGGAAAAGCAACTGAGAGAGAAAGAGAAATATTAATTATGATGTAACAATGTGGAAGACATGTCCATCTTGTAGCTACATTCCACACTAAGATTTTCTACTCTGAGGTTTCCTATAGATATTTGACCTGTTTTTATGTATATGGCCCAAGCTTTAGAGTTACAGAGTGCCGTGTTCAAATCCCACCTCAATATTTTACTACTTGACAAGTTACATAAACTCTCTGTTACTACTTCTTATGCTTATTTTGCAAGCCAGGGAATTAAGTGAGATAATATATTTTAAATGCCATATACAGAAATGGCAATTAATGCTAATTCCTTTCTCTTTCCTTCATGAATAAATAATATTTAATGTCAAGCATTAGGTAGTTTTTATGAATCTACTTTGTCTGAGGTAGGGTGCTAGATGTTATGGAGAAAAGATGTGTGAGATTCCTAACCTCAAGGAGCTGTTATTCATGAGGGGAAAAATACAAATGATTAAAATGAAATAATATATTAGGGAAATTAAATCAAAATCACAATGAGATTCTTGTTCCTATCCACTAGAATGGCCATAATCAAAAAAGACAGACAATAACAAGTGTTGGCGAGGATGTGAAAAAATTAGAAACCTCAGGTATTGCTGATGGGAATGTAAAATGACACAGCCCCCTTGGAAAATAGTTTGGTGACTTCTTAAAAAGTTAAACGTAAATTTATCATATGACTTAGCAATTTTACTCCGAGATATCTACCCAAGAGAAACAAAAACATACATCCACACAAAAGACTTGTATGCAAATGTTCATAGCAGCATTATTCGTGATAGCCAAAAAGTGGAAACAACCCAATGCCTATCAATTGTTAAGTGGATAAATAAAACATAGTGTATCTGTGCTGAAAGGGCAGCCTTGAAAAATGAACAGGAAGCTATTTGATCCTGCAATTTCCTAGTAACAGTTAAAGATCAATCCTGTGAGTTCTTTTGCTAACAGGCACCCCACAGGAGTTCTGTTTCACGCAATTTCTAAAAACAGCTGAGTAGATGGAAAAGAGATGTACATCTTTCTCTTTCAAAACAGCCTTTGAGAATCTGGTTTTTTATAGTCTGGAGAGCTCCTGAGCAAACAGCAGGGTGTGAACTTCAGGCCTCAGCCATATCTCGAAGGCAGAGGATAATCCCAAGGAAAGGTGGGGAAGCCATCTCTTGGACTCTGACATCCTGCCGCTTCTGTTATCAGTCTGCTGCTCAGAAGGAGGAGCTGAGCGGATGCAGAAGTACCCTGTTAATTTGGCTACAGACATAAATCTTCTTCATCCCCTAAATAAAAGACTGAGTACCTGATTCTTTGCCAACATTCTCTACCTTCTTCACTTCTGTGTTGGCCCCTTTCCTGCCAAGGAATAAGTAAATAAACTTCTTTCTATCCTAATCTTTGTCTGGAGATATCTTTCTCAAAGCCTATGTGTACCAGCTCATACCCTTACATGTATTATACAATGGAATATTATTCAGCCATAAAAAGGAATATAGTTCTTACATGGATAAACCTTAAAAACATTATGCTAAAGTTGAATTTTATAATCTGTAAATTATACTTCAGTAAAGCTATTTACAGAATTAAATAGTAATTGAAGAATTTAGAAAAATATAAAAGACAAATATTAGAAAATTAATGCTAAAAAATTATTGAATGCTTATGGTACACTAAGGATTTCCTCAGATTTTAAAGATGGGTGGAGTCTGGGTAAGTACAGAGAAACAGGGATAAGCTATGAGGCAGGGAAATTTCCAGAACAAAGATAGAAGGCTTCAGTGGAGAAGTCCGAGATAGGCTTTAGGGCAGAACCAAACCAATTTTAATGAATAGAGAGACTAAGTTGAGAGTATCAGGAGCTTCAGAGGTAGTTTGGGGCCAGACTTTGCAGACCTTTAATTTTCAGACAAGAGGCTTGGAACTGGTCCACATGGCAATGGGAAGCCACTAAAGAGGGGAGTGACATGATGAAAGAGGTGTTCTGAGAAGGTTAATCTGGCAGCAGTGTGCAGAGAGAGGATGGGAGCAGGAGATGGATGAGAGGCAGTGAAGGAGGCTGCCACAGTAGTCCAGGCTTGAGATGATAAAGGCCTGAACGAGGGTCATGGCAGTGTGCCACGTTAACTTGAAAAGTGACAGTAAAAATACCCCAAAATATTACCTTATATTTTCAAGTTTTATATGCTAAGGCACTGAACTGACACTATTCTGTGTGATGTGCTGTGATATACACCACCCTGAAAGAATTTTAAGATGCAAAAGATGAGGATGAGAATCCAATCTGTTGCTTTTATTGCCTGACAATTGTGGGTTGCAGATTCCACAGCACCACATCCAAGGATCATATGGGATGGAGGTAAGAAGCCTGAAAAATTTTAAAGTGTGGTCATTTTAGGGCTGCTAAGTAGAAACCAAAAAAATAGTTAGACTGCTGCTGGTCAGAAGGTCAGGTTTGGACTTTGGTAAAGTCTAGCTCTTTTTCTCTAGTTTCAATTTCCACATCTCTGAAATAGAGAAGCTAAGCTAGAACAGAGATTTTCAAACTGTGTTCCATAACTGTGTTGAGGAAGTGATTCAGGGGCTTCCCAGGTATTGGGAAGACCCAGCCACTCATAATTTGAGACCCCTACCCACACTTCAACCAAAACAGCTCTGATGTTATCTGTTTGGGGTTTTTGGCTTCATAGTAACATTTTATTTAATAAAGATTCTGTGGCTTTAATTAAAAAAAAACAATTAAGCTATAGAATCCTCTAAATCTCCTTCTAGCTCTAAAATTAACTACCCTGACTTTAATTTCTTTTATATATTTAAGGGGAGGGAATAACTTCCATAAACATAGGATTTAAAATGTTTAATAGCCAACTCTATCAGGAGATTGAAGGATTTCTTTTAAAGTAAAGAAGGCCTTTTGAGAGGTCTTACTTTCAGAATAGAATCTGCAAGTAAATTTATTTGAAATTTCTAAAACTTTGGCTTCATTCTGTCTCTATGGGATTCTGTGCAGTAACCATGAGATTGAGTCCAGATAGCTGAGGATGGAAAACACCCATAGATCATCTAGGTCTTCCTTTCTCCTGGGGGAGCCGTGGGGGGGATGTGGAATGCATGCTTCTTCTCAGCCAGAAGGCCAGGGGAACGGTCAGTGGAGGACAGGGCCAACATGGAGCCTTTGAACGTCTCCTGGAGCACTTCAATGCAGCACCAGCTTAAGTTTAATCGCAGTGATTCAGTGCTTACTTCCCACCATCCCTAACCCTCCCCAACATTTGGAATTTCCATTCATCAACCCAGATAGCTCAGAACCTAACTACTCTTAGTTTCCAAAATGTGACTTCCTTCTCCTAGGAAGACCAGGAAAACCTGTGGGAGATCTAGCTGTGGCTCTGGGTCGCGCCAAGTCAAGGCGAGTGCCTCTTTTTACCTCCTTTCCTTCTCGTGTCAGTGAGCACAGATGGAAGAGAATCCTAACAGTAATATGGATTAACTTGTACTAGGCACAAAGCACTTCATATGCATTATTTAAGTTTCCCACTTATGTGGTGGATATTATTATATCTCCATTTTACCGATAAGCAACCTAGGGCTTTGAAAGGTTAATTAGCCCAAGGTTATACGAACAGTAGGAAGAGTCAAGGTTTGAATCCAGGCTTGACTGCCTTTGAGTCTGAACTCTTAACCAGACGTGATACAGTTCTGAAGGCCTGCTTTACTTAATGGGACAATGAGACCTCAATTTAGTAGTCTTCTTTCCTTAGTGCTTAATCATAAGGGTCCCTCCTTCAAATCTGCAGGCAGAAAAGAACTTTTCCTTAGTTCTCTATGTCCCATCTGCTCCAGAGGCCACAAACTCCGGGAACATGGGAGGACAACTATAATACATACAAGTCCTTCCTCAGCAGCCACTCATGACAGACTATCATCTATAGACTTAGGGGAGCAATTCCTTTTACAATACTCCACTGGGAGAATGTTTTCATCGACAGCCACTTGGCAAATACATTTGTGCTCTTTCCTGCACTATCTTTTGCACTATTTTTATTATGCTTTTTTCATATATCATGCCACAGCCCAAATCAATATTCTCACGGAAAAACTGTCACTAATATGTCCATGCACACACACACTTGTATGTATGTACACATGCTTATTCTATCTACTTTTAATCTTTTATGCTGCTGAAATCAATTTTTTTCCTAAAATATGAAAAAATAATCATTCCCCAAATGTTCTGAAACATTTTGGGTGAGATACCATAAAAAGCAATTTTACTGTGAAATTCTAAAAGCTATGGTAAGGTAGGTAAACGCTCAGATGCAATGCCCTTCACAGACACTACCTGATGGAATTCTATAAGGGCTGAAAACATACAGAATAAGAATTCTAAGAACCTATGTTGAAAGAGCTGGCAGCTTTCCCCGCTGGAAGCAAGTGTCTCTGTGATGTATTTCAACCAGGAGCAGCTTCCCACAGTGAGTTGTATATTATACGAGAAAGGCCAATTCAAATGCTTATGAGAAAAGGAAGATTTTGAATTTGGTTTTGACACAGAAATTTTCATTTCAGGCCTAGTGTTCTTGGCTAAATCTGCTTGTGAGGCAATAGTTTTGGGAGGATTTCTCTATGGAAGACACACACCACGTAACTTCTAACGGAGCTGGGGGAGTTGAAGGCAACTCAAAGAAGTGGTAGGGGCTGAAAACAAATGAGTTAAAGCTGGGTGTAAACAAATTAGTTTATGCCAGTGTTGGACCAGGAATTATTTAGATAACGATAGGTTCATCAGAGCTATATTCCTAACTTACGAGGTAAAGTTAGGAATGGCGACTGCTAATTCAGTCACCTCCCCAAGTGCACAGCAACAAGGGAAATTGAGTTCTCTTGCTGGAAAGTTGTTGAAGTTTTAGAGCCAGGAAACTAACAGGAAAGAGGCAGGATTTCCTTGGCCTTCTTTCCTTAATAAATCATGTCCTTTATTGTCCAGTAACTTGGAAGAGAAGAACTAGAGAGGCTTTGCCCTTCCTGAGTAGAGACTAGAGACATCTGGGAGTAGGAGGTGCAGGGAAGTCGGGAGGAGGGGGTGGTGTGGAGACAGAGGGAGAAGAACCCAGTGTTCTGAAAAGAATCCTGGGCCAAAACAGCACGAGGCCTGGTTTTGTTCCACCAAGAGCCCATGTACAATTCCAAGCTTCCAACTGCTAGGCAAGGGCTGGCTGTGTGTCTCGGGTCCCTGCAGCCTAGTTAAAAGCTAGTGATACGCTATGGTATAAATGGTTACAAAAATACCGTTCCATCATGTTAGGAGGATTGTTTTGTTCTCTTGCCTTTTCTGTGTGTACGTCTAGGGTGCCTTCGTTTCCTACTTACGCCTCTTTTACTCTCTCCTTCTGAGGAGCATACACACCTCTGTCCAGTCTGAGAGAAGCCACTCGCTGGGGCAGTCATCTTTCTTGCAGGCTTGCTGGAAGGCCGGTTTCGAGGCTGAACAGAAGGTCTCAGGGAGCTCCAGGAAGCTGCCATCAGCCATGCGCTGCTTGCAAAGAACCTCACGTTTCTGAACACCCCCTCCACAGGTCCTGGAACACTGGGAAGGAAGGAAAGAAAGAAGAGAAAGTCAACGGGACATAGGAAAGTAGTTTGTTTGATGGCCAACAGTTTGGTGAAAAAAAAAAATTCAAACAAACAAAGAAAAAAAAAACAGAAAAAGAAGAAAAACCGGGCATCAGCCCAAAGAATTTTGTTTCCTCTCGTTGAAACGAAAATTTTAGCAAGATTTACACCCTCCATGCTAAGTCCCAGGTATTTAACTAGAGAATCCAGGAATTTCGGGGCCCTCTAAATCTTAGAAAGCTGCTTCTGAGCTATGATTTGCAGACTTCCAAGACAACTGGTTAAAAAGGTTAGTAAAATAGAGTGTTCAACATATTTATGATCGAGTGAAAATAATCTGTGCTGCTTCCAGAATGAACGAGAGCTCCTGCCATCGGTATAAATCTGGAGAAATTAATTTGCAGAGAAGACGGTTCTTTCTCTAAGTGTAGGCACTTATTCGAGCACATTGGACGGGCATTAGATTTAGGGCCTGGTTTTCTGAAGAACTCCCTTGAATACTTTTCTCGCAAAATTGATGATTTCTTAGGACAGTGGGAGCCAGAGCTGGTAAAATTTGGGTTGCAAGAAAAATAGCCTCATGTCAGTGGTTTTCAGAGGAACCCCAATAAAACACATTGTTTACATGTAACTTAATAGTTATAATCCAGCAGCTAGATGGGGGAGGGAGGCCCCCCAACGCACAGACTGTTGGCTATTTCCAAATGTTTGAGCCCTCTTTTTCAGAGGAAAGAAGCCTCCAGTTTTTAGGTGGGCACAGGCCTTTTCAACACGAAGGCGACATTCGCCAACCTCCCTTGAGGCAGACACAGCCATTTGACGAAGTGCTGGCCAGTGAGATATAAATGGAAAGGTTATGTGCCTTTCCAGGGAAGTGCGCACAGTGAAGGTGTGGCATCTTTCCCTTTTCCTGCTCCTCTCTGCTGGCTGGAGTGCAAGCACGGTGTCTGCAATTTAAGCTCCACCTTGGACTGCGATTAGCAAAGAGGGAAGAAGCCCGGCCTCCTGACTGCAAAGCTGCTGCACATGGGTTTTTCTATCTTCTTTAAGCCATTGTTGTTTTCGGGTTTCTAGAGCTTTCAGTCAGGTATAACCCCAGCTAATAGATCAACCACTTTCTACTCTGTGCTGGAGGTAATTTATTGTAAACAGTTTTAGGGAGCACACAGTTTTCTTCAGGAATAGCCTCTTGTCTTTAACTTGCTGCCCTCAGGCTTGCAGGGAAATCAGGCAGGGGTTTCAAAGCCCTGTGAGTTTGTACTGAAGGAGCCGCTCCTGTCCAGTCTCGCCCCTCTCAGGACTCGGGTGCTCTGTGCTCAGTAGGTCGTACTCAGAATTGCCATGGGGATTTTTGCCCACAATGTTACAGTGGTGACACAGTGTCCTTGGGCGCAGTCAGAATGCTGCTGTGACCCAGTTTCCACCTCAGCAAACATGCCATTTGTTTGCAGGTGTGAAGTGCCTGAGGTCACAGAGCTAGTGACAGTGATGTTAGAATAGCTATCAACTTTGTCTAGTTAGGCCTTTTAATCATAGAGTCTTTCAAATGATCCAAAACCAGGGTGAACCACCTTTCTTTTACATTTAAAATTTGATATAAAAATAATCATACTGAATCCCCTAGGAAAAAACTGTATTTTCTATGGCTAGGATCAATTCCTTACCCACCGAAGGCTAACAAAAGAGGTGAAATTACTCTATGAAGTAGATCTTATTCCCACTTGATAGAAAAAGAACCTGAGGTTCAGAGAGGTGAAGTAAATCAACCAAGGACACACAGGGGCTAGAACTGGTGTATTTCCATTGAGTGCAGCATTTACCGAGCTCCCACCGAACACCATGCTCTGTGCAGAGCTGGAGAACAAACCCAAACTCAGCTTTTCTCCCTTGTGGTTGTAGCAACTCCTCTCTGCTTAGTAGTCAGAATGCTGCTTCGTGATGAGGGCACCAAGCCTGGTAAGTACCAAGGCTGCAGAGAGCCTGGTCACCCTTGCAGAGAAGTGGTGCTTTGCAACTCAATTCTTAGCCTCCCCTCTTGTGACCATCTCCGACTGGCAGGAATCAGACCATGATCCAGGTTGGGGACCAGAACTCTAAAATAGATCATATATATTCTGGTGACTCTAGAAATGTGCTCTCTCTAAACTCTGATTTCTGAGTTGAGAGGCTGCATTTGAACATAGCTCCCAGGCTAGGTCATAAAGCTAGAGCACTTGTTACTCATCACAGCTCCAAACAGTTTCTTCTAAGGGCTTTTCTAGTGTGTCTTTCGGCTTTAAGAAAAAAAAACAAACAAAAAACTATCGTCTCAGAGCTAATGATTCAAGACTTTTGGCTTCCTTGTGGATCATTTCAGTGACTCTCTGGACTTTTCATTTGTTGGAGAAGCAAATTTTTATTTTAGTTCTAATTTAGTAGCAATTCAATAAGATATTAAGGATTTCACTTCAACTCATTTGGTACCCACACTGCCTAGAACAGTGCTTTCTGTGAATGTTAATCCTCAATACTGAGTTCATCAGGTATAAAGAACATGCTCTCAAATTTCTGTTACCTAGTGACTGACATTTTAGAAACTTTACTGGTGATGTCAGATTTGTATGAGTACAGTGCCCTTCAGGTCTTGATGGCTACAATTTTTTTTCCTAAATATCTTATGAAGCACGTTGGCTTCTGTACAATTTGAATAAATGCTCCAAAGCAAACAAGTAGCTGAATAAGAACAGTTCTCAGATTCAAATTGCTCATTTAGAATATCTTAGTAAATTCGGCAATAAGGAAAAATGTAGGTTCATTTTCTCTCTTTTTCAAATTGAGGAAGTAGATGAAAATAATCTATCTTATTTCAAAGAGATGAAGGTGAAGATGTAATAAAATTATATTACAGAGTGACCACTGACTTAAAATAACACAGCTGGGTTGTCAATTTGCAGATAAGACCCGACTGGAGAGACAGTGTACAGAAGTCTGTAACAACATGATGACAAAACAGTCACAAGTTCAAAAAACAAACAAAAACAGAACAAAACAAAAACAACAAAAAACTTGTTGTTTTGAAGTTTAATCATACGTAAGGCTTTTAGGAGATTCTCAATGCCCAGAAGGTAAAGTCCAGACTCGTGACAATGTCCTCAATGACAAGGGCCTCGCTCTCTGACCTGCGTTGAGCTTTCCAGCCACATTCCTCGACACTCCGCCACGTGCCTGTGCTTTAGCTCCAGTGGACAATTTGCCTTTTTCTGGGCACATAGATGCTTTCTCTGCTTAGGCCTCTGATCACATTCAGTCTGTGAGCGCTGACTGTCAGCTCTCTGTTCATCCAGAAACTTTGAAGACATCCTTGAAGGCCCAGCTCAAAGGCCACTGTTTCATTAAAGCCTCCTCTAACTACCTCCTGACCTGGAAGGGACCTTCTCTCTATAGAACGGCTCCTCGTCTAAGTGCCTGCTATTAATATTTCCCTCCGCCTCTCTGCATGCACACAGGATGATGAGTCTTCTGAGAGAAGGGAATTTATTCGTCTTTATATTCCCCAGTGCCTAGTGTAGTGTCTGGCAAAGAGCTTGCACTTCATAAATGTTTGCTGATGACTGGATGAACAAAAGAGCCCCGAGAGCAGATGCTTAAAAGATGTAAGACAAGCATCCAGCTGATGGGCTGATCATCCACCTTTTCTCAGGCTGTTTTATCATTAGCCAGGAGCTGCTTCCCAGTAAGTCAGCAGTGGCTTTCAGCCAGTGACACCGTGTGCTCTGCTGGACACCCTGACGCGCCAGGTATGGGAGGCGGCCATCTAGCTCAGTAAATACTGTCAGGGATTTTGCTCCTAGATGCTGTCTTGTGTTTGCTCATAAATCTTCCTCAGTGTTTTTTATATTGATAAAGAGGTATTTTTAGAAATTTTTAAAAATAGTGGAAGATGGGCTGGGTGCAGTGGCTCAGGCCTGTAATCCTAGCACTCTGGGAGGCCAAGGCAGGAGGATCACTTGAGGTCAGGAGTTTAAGACCAGCCTGAAGACCAAGACCCCAACTCTACAAAAAATAGAAAAATTAGCCGGGCATGGTGGCACACACCTGCAGTCCCAACTACTCGGGAGGCTGAGGCAGGAGGATTGCTTGAGCCCAGGAGTTTAAGGAGTTTAAGGTTGCTGTGAGCTATGATGACACCACTGCACTCCAGCCAGGGTGACAGAGCAAGACCCTGTCTCAATTTAAAAAAAAATTGTGGAAGATAAAATTTCAAATTAATAATGGTTCCAAAATGTGTGATGACTCTGTGAACATTCTGTGATTATCTCGTGAGGCCAACAGTTCTAAAGTGAGAGGCAGGATAGAAAGAAGAAAATGTTTAAAAAGGAGCAGCAGCAAGAGAAATTTAATAAAATTAAATAAAAATTGTTTGCCTTTATGAATAATCATTTAAAATAATACTCTGATATGAAGAAATAAATCTCTGGTAAGGGGTATTATTTTTAAATATATGCAATAAGCAAAATAAATAACAAAAAAGCATTTATATTGCTTATACTAGCTGCCATATGTGTTTCATGATATAAGGTCATGGATTCATTATTTTTACAAGAAAAGTTAGAAATACACAATAAGGAAAGCACTTAAAAGTTATGTTTCTATACAAAATTATAATGGCCCAAGTGACTTGTATTTTTAAAGATATTCCTATGATCAGCACATGAATAAATTCTGCCTGTATTGACACTTTTGGTTCCATCTTGGTAGTTTAATTTACTGAGAACTCAGTTTATTTCCTTGTTACCTCAAGTCACATTATTGAACCCAACACAAAGCGATGTATCTGTTTTGTTTCTAAGGCCAACTTTCCAGCTTTAACATAATGATCTCTGCTTACAGCTTCTAACTCATTTCATTCATTTCTTCCTTCACTCATTCATTCTTTCATCAAATGTGTATTGAGCACTTACTGAGTGCCAGGCACCATATTCGGTGCTGAGGATT